AAGGGTGCAAGTTTTCCAGGTTTCTCAAATTATTGCATTAGAAGAACCCATGTGTTTACATCCGCCAAACATTAAAGCTACAAACTTATGAAAACAGGTCTGGATAGTTATGTGGATGTGATTCTCTCCCTCCACAAGGCACTGGGTCCCACCTGGCATCAGAATGGCTGTTTGTTCTTGGAGGAATGTTACTAAACTAGATCATCAGTTCTCTGTACCATCTTCCATTCATGCAGTAAAATTAACAATACAAAATATTGTGCTGCACATACTCTTGACTACTTAGAAAAGCATGTGATGATTGATTTCTATGTAATAAACCAAATTGCCGCCCCATTTCTGACCAATTTTATGCAACATTAATTCTACCAAAATGTAAAAAAAAAAATCTAATAGGCATATCAGATCATATCACTAGTCTTCGAAAATGAAGCCTTTGATTTAGCATGTTAATTAGTGAACGATGATACTCAGTTTTACTGTAATAGTAATCGATAGCTTTAGCTGCGTTTTCATTTCTTTTAATTCAACCACACTACTGGTAAAAATTTGTTACATCTAGGGTTGCAAAGTGGCAGAAAATTTCAGGTAAATTTTCCACCCCTTTGTAACTCATCATCTATCTCACATAATTTTGTATATTTAAACTTGCGTTGAAATGGAAATAGTGACCGATTTTTTCTTGTGACTTACATCCAAATGTCACAGATGATCAAAAAAGAAAAAAATGCATTTAGAAAATCGATTTATTTCCTGTATTAAAATCAATTCATTTGGATTTACTTCCATTTTCCCTTGATTTCTTGAAACTTTACACTCAAACTTCTAGAAATAGATTTTCACTTCTGTATGAATGACTCACACATGAAAAGCACATTATGTCAACCCCTCACGTAAATGTGTATACACAAACACTGCATGCAATGTTACAGATTATGAGTATTAAATCAGATACTTTAGGTCAATACATGAATCATCCGAGCTGCATGTTTCACATGGAAATAAAAAAGGATCATTGACTTAACTCTTGTTGAGAAAAATTGCTCTTGTTTAAAAAATACCTAACCAGATTTGTTAGGGTTTTATTTACAGTTTCCACTCTCTTTGAAAGTATTAGTACCCTGAGGGTACCCGTGTCTGAATTGGCTTTAATCCATTCGTTGTTTTCTTGGCTGATGCTTCTATGGAGAAAATGCTATTTATGTCAATTATGTCAACACAGTCTTTAGCCCAAATATGGACATCTTTCACTTTTCATCACTTCCAAAATGTCACCAAATGTAAACTGCCATTTAACTGACATGGTCCCCAAAAAGTAAACTCTTAACCGAGTGGCATTGTACTATATGAAAATTATGCTAGACAATTTTTTTAACAATTTCTTTTCCTGAGCCATTGTTTAATCCACTTTTACCCAACTGTCCCATGGTTAAGTCAATTCTCCTTGAGTTCACACAGGTGTCTGAGCAGAATAACCGCATGAACATATCCCACAAATATATGACTGCTATTCAAACATATGAATTTGAATAGCAACAAATTGTAATTTAATGTGTTTTTCTCTGTGACTGGAATGAGTTAACCAGAACATGAAAAAGTACTTTTCCTCTTTACTCTGAAGAGTAAATATATATAGTTTAATTTTTGTGATTTTTTTTATTTTTTATTGTAATGTGCTCTCTGTCTTTAATACAATGTTATAATACATGACATGATAGAATTTGGGTTTGAGGCTAGATTGGAGTTATTGTGTCATTTACAATTAGACACCACTATGTTCTAGTTACACTGTGTTGGAAATAACCAAGAGCTAAATATTAAATTTCACTGAGACAGGCACTTTTTAGAGGAGCTGTTTTTGTCCCTAAGTCTCTCTATTCACAGATAGGACTTGAGAGAGATGAGGAAGCACAAGCAAAGGTGCAGAATGAAAGGATTTTTTCAGTCGTGTTCAAATTGCGTCACACCCACCCAGCGAGTCAGTCAGTATCGGTGGGATCGAAACCAGCATGTTATTTTAATATACGTGGTTAAAGTTACATCAATAATACAAAAAAGAATAGAAAAATCATGGCGACAGTTTTGACTTATTGTTTAGTTGTGTTGTCCTTTGATTTTGTAAAAGATATAGACACAAAGGTACACACATCAAACCCCCTTTTAAATCATATGGGATATTTAAAATTCGCAACTTTGTCAATACATAATATACAAAAAAAATGATACTTATCGGTTCTACTGGGATCAACGCAGGTCAAAGTCATACTGACTTTATTATTTGTATAGATTATGGATCAGCGCATCTTCTGTAATCCAGCCTGCAGCTTCAGACACAAAGCAACAGGTGTTTCTTTGCTTCGCTCAGCAGAACTCCAGCGTAATTGTGAAACCATGCGATTATGGATTATAAAAACTGAAAGGCTGGACACAAACCCGCTGCCATGAACAGCAACACACACAAAAAGCCCAATGCAAATATACACCGCTGGGTAAACAAAGACATTCCTTCTGCTTACCTGTTTTCCGAAACCTTCAGCAATGACCTTCACTAGGCACAAAATAATAAAGAAGCTCTTTTTAGGTTTAGTGTCTATTAAAAACTCCTCGGTGAGACCGAGGTTGAACAAGCCACGCAAAACTGTCAGTGCGTTTTTTCCGAAACAACCTGTTGCCTTCGCGTCGTTGATCCGCCCCTCCTGAGCGCTCATTGGCTGGAGAGTTGTCCCAAGGCCGGCCGATTGGAACACGTGATTGGCCGAGATTCACTGTCAATCAAATACAAATAATTCAGGGCCCGTCCATTAACCAATTTAAGAAACTTGATGCCACTGTTTATTCCAGTTAAAATTGCATTTTGTTTTAAAACAACAAACTACAAATAATAAAAAAGGTTGTGAAAATAAACCAAACATAGTTAACGTGTATCATAAGGTCATAACAATTGGGTTAAGCCAGATAACATCAGTTTTATTTTTAACGTTCTTTCTTATAAAGATTTTAGTTAGCAGATTTGTCAGTTTATATTTAGAATATAATTCGGTGTCAAAATGGAAATGTTTTTTTTTACCTTTAGTAAAAACATAATAGAGCTGCAACACTAGAACAATTTTCTGTGCTAATCATTTGCAAAATTATGGATCCATGAATGATTTAGACATTTGTTCCGCTCATGTTTCATGAATATGGCCATTCATAGCTTACTTTAGCATTTCTAACTAGTTTATACAGCTGATGCCACTGTTTATTCCAGTTAAAATTGCATTTTGTTTTAAAACAACAAACTACAAATAATAAAAAAGGTTGTGAAAATAAACCAAACATAGTTAACGTGTATCATAAGGTCATAACAATTGGTTTAAGCCAGATAACATCAGTTTTATTTTTAACGTTCTTTCTTATAAAGATTTTGGTTAGCAGATTTGTCAGTTTATATTTAGAATATAATTCGGTGTCAAAATGGAAATGTTTTTTTTTACCTTTAGTAAAAACATAATAGAACCGCAACACTAGAACAATTTTCTGTGCTAATCATTTGCAAAATTATGGATCCATGAATGATTTAGACATTTGTTCCGCTCATGTTTCATGAATATGGCCATTCATAGCTTACTTTAGCATTTCTAACTAGTTTATACAGTCAAAATTTGCATGAGTTTCCTCGGATATTTACAGCAGCTTTTTGAATAGGTTTTGTTTTTTTGAGTAAAATAAGGTCTGTGGTCAATATTACTTGAAGGGACTTTTGTGTTTTGTTTTTTAACAAAATTACAGTTGGCAAAAGCTGCCAAAAAGGGCTAAAACTACCACAAGAATTCAAACTGATGTGCTTTTTTATAAACTGTAGCAGTTCTTGCATAGCAACTTGTAGCAAGCCTTTTAAAAACACAGAAGCTTCAAAACGCAAGACTGAGATCATTTAAATTGTTGCAACAAATCATGCACCCTCAAAATAAAGTTAACCACAGACTTTATTTGACTAAATTCTAAAACCCATAGGAAATCCCAGGGAAACCAGGGTGAATTCGTCTTCTGGGTTGCCCTACAAATTTATGAAACTGCTATAGACAACACAAATATAGTCATGAAATCCCAATTGATACAAGTGTTTTGTTTAAAACATCTTAAAATCAGTTGACTGTCAGCTAACTAACAGGAGCACAAAAATGCTGTTTTTTCTTTTAAATATATATTTTAAGAAACTTTTTTTAATATTATTTTAAAGACTGCTGAGCTGAAAATAAACATGTTAAAAATATCTTTAATTACATGGCTTAGTTTAGTTTTTTTTTTTACCTATATATAATATTATAATAAAAGGTCACAAAAAAGACTTGTAAAAAAACAATTCAATTTACTTCTTTCAGTACAGAGCCAGAGGTACTCTGTACTGAAGAGTACCCCCCCCCCCAATATTACTGCACAATGCTGGCAAATGGAGGGCACCAGAGCAAGCACATTGAACAGCATACACACAGGTACATAAAAAGTAACAAATAAGAAAAAGGCAACTTGGACAGAAATGCAGAAAGAAAAAAAAAAAGAGAGAAACTGCAAACATCTTACTCTGCGACAACATTTGATTTCGTTGTGTTATTTGGTCTACTTCAAAGCCCAGGATGAGGCCTAATCGAAACAGTAAAAGTAACAATTAAAACAGTTCTGATGGAGTACTGCATTGGTTCACATGGAATCCAAAGACTACATACATACACTGATATGGTTATGGATTACCACTATCGGCTATGCCACCATCTACCATTGTCCACTTTGTGTCAATAACAGTGAGTAGCTGTACATGAAGAGAAACAATCTAGAGTTTTATTAACAATGAATCGCAGGACTCCAACTTCTGTCAGATCACTCATGTATTCAAATAAACACCATGAAATGTTGATTATCTACATGTCTTATGCCTTTTTCAGGATGCTGCCGTTTTCCTTTGGATATGCTGAAATGGAGATCACTGAGAGGAGAGGAGAGGTTGTGTGGTGACTATACACTCTTGACTTAATCAAAGCATTCTTAACCAGACGCGTCAAAATTTTTGAGGTAGCAAGTTGGCATCAGTGCTTTGCAGATCAGCAAGATGGATTTTGGAATGAAAAGAAAATTTGGACAGCTCTTTGGAGGCTGATCTTGGGTATAATCACACAAAAGGTTAAATTCTTGTACAAACATATTGAATTTTACTTTCTACTGTGGCCCGAATCGATCTGCTTCTCCAAATTTGTCACCAAGGTGAAATGAAGACCTATGAGTGCAAAAACAGCTGAATTTTGAAAATGTGTCGATGTTTTATATACACACATTTCCAACATCTGTTACAATGCTTTTTAATCAGAGACATGGGCCCTAAAAGTGCTTATGAGGTCTGTGAAGAAACAAATGCAAGAAGTAACATCAGATTAAGAAGTTCAGTTTTATCTGTATGTCTCGCTCTCCTCTGGTGGATTAATTCTTCACTTCCATTTCACTTTCTCACCATGAAACACAAGACATAAAGCACCAAGAAATAAATCAAACTTCCCTCTTCCCCGATCTTCTTCTCTCCTTTAGCCATCATTTGCAGCCACCAGCTGTCCCAGTCCCTGGCGCACATAAACAGCTTGAATCTCCTTTGTCTTGAGGCAGAAGTCGCAAGCCCACACCGCGGCGCTCTCCCTGGTTAGCAGCCCATACGCTGGCTCAGTTAGGCCTGTGCAGTCTCTATGGAACCATCGTTGGCAGGAAGCCTCGCACAAGATGGCCTCTTGGTCATCGTGCACTTCTGACAGGCAGAGGCCACAAGGGAACACCATGCCTCCACCTAGCTTTGGGGGACCGGAGCCAGGGCCAGCAGAGGGTGGAGCGGGCCCACTGGCAAGTGGGGATTGGGTGTTGGGCGTGGAGTTGGAGTTGGATGGAGGATTGGGGTTGCTACCTGGAGTGTTGCCACCACTGCTGTTGTTAAGGTTGTTCTGGGTGGAGTTGGGTGGCTGGTTTGGCATTGGACCTACGGGAGTATTGTTCTGCTGGTTGTAGGGCACTGAACCCGGAGCGGAGTTTGGTGGCGTTGGTTGCTGCTGATTGGATGGGGTGTTGGGGCCAGGGCCACCAGTGGAGTTGGGTGGAGGATGCTGATTGGTTGGTGCCGGTTGAGGCTGGGGACCGTTATGGGGGCCAGTGGGGGACGAGTTGGGATTGGGGGGTTGAGCAGCCGACTGGGGTTGTCCTGGAGTGTTGGGGTTGGGTTGTTGGACATCTGGATGACCTGGGAAACCTCCTCCAGGCTGTGGGGGTCCAGGGGCTGGGGACGGACCAGGGGTGGCATTGTTGGATGGAGGACCAGAGGGGTTAAGGTTAGGTGGTTGCTGTTGAGAGGGAACAGGTGGACCACCACCTGGACCACCAAAGTTCTTTCCCTCTTCACCAACAGGAGGACTTGATCCAGGGTACGGGCCATCTTGTGGAGGAGGGAACTGTCCTTGTGGAGGCATACCTGGATGTCCACCCACCATATTACCCCCACCACCCATCCCCATCATGTTCATTCCTCCTCCCATACCCCCCATAGGGTTCATGGGGCCGTGCGGAGGCCCACGAGGGCCAGGGCCACCAGGTAAGGGCGGGCTGTTGAAGGGATGGCCACCTTGTCCATGTGGAGGCTGTTGCTGAGGCATCCCAAACCTTGGATGAGGTGGACCTCCTCCACCTCCTGGACCGCCACCCATTCCTCCAGGTGACAACATTGGATTGAAGCCCTGCCCAGGGTGCATGGGTGGGCTGAAATTGGGTGGCATGTTAAACTGGGATGGGCCTCCTGGTGGAAATCCTCCACCACCACCTCCTCCGCCTCCACCACCTCCAAAGCCTGGCATGCCCCCAAATCCAAGTGGGTGGTGTGGTCCAGTATTTGGCGTTGGCGGACCGAAAGGGGGTCGTCGGCCAGGCTGTCCGCCTCCAGGTCCACCTGGGCCACCCATGAATCCCATACCTCCTCCCATTCGACCGGGTCCAACATAGCCACCTCCACCGCCCCCTGGACTGGGCAGAAAAGAGGCACCACCTGGACCACCCCCTCCCCCAGATCGCAATGGCGGACCAAAGTCATCATCGAAAGGGTTAGAGGCCACCAGGTGATCAACCATCGGAGTTGGAGGGGGTGCAAACTCAGAGAGGTGGGAGAATGCTGCCCCCTAGCAGGAAATACAAAGGGTGAGAAATAAGTTGGTAATGCTGAATTGCTTAGTTTCTAATGTTAATGCACTGAATTTGTCATTAAATGCAATTATTTTTAACATTTAGCTTAAAGAGGGTACCAACTTCACTAGAATACAAATACCTTTACAACAAAGTCCGGCTAAATATAAAATTAAGCATTAAGTCCAAAGATTCAAAAACTAACCTGAGTGTTGGATTTCCTCTTCTTTTTCTCTGGGCTCTTCATCTGGGAACCTATGGAAGCAGAAATGTAAAGGGGGGAAATGAACAAGAATAGGGTGGGAGAAATGAGCAGTTAGACCAAAAGCACATTTATATAAAAAGTTTTTTGATGCAAAAATGTGCACAAGATCATTTTTCACTGTAATTTGCCAGGTGGTATTAAGTGGAACTGCTCATTTACATGTCCCATGTGTCACACTGCTAGCATCAACTGTGAACCTGACTGGCATTTGAAGAGATAAAGCAGAGCACTGGTAACAAACAGATTTGGAAACTGACTATTTTGTTAAACATATTTGTTGATACGACAACCACACATCTCAGTACCTCCAATAAATACATACATTTCTTGAGAACCAAATAAATCAAACCATCAAAATAAAACCCCATAAAACCTAGATTATCAAAGTGTATCCCATGTTATTAAACATTATTAGAGATAGACAGATAATCAGTTTAACCGATATTTTTATGGATATACAGCAATATTTTGTCTCTAAAGACTAGCACCTAACTACAGTATTCAGTGTCACTGTGATAGTCACATTTTTAATAATAATAACAATTATTATTATACAATACATTCATTCTTTCTACAGCTACACAGCCAAAAATAAATACAAATATGGACAATGTTGACAAAAAAAATGGCATAACTGTTATAACATTTTTTGTTTAAATTCCTATAAAATATTATATTAAATATATCTAAATTTAACTGTAGTCTAAATTTTTTTTTTAAAGCAACAATAAGAGTATTTTTTAAAAATGCATATCATTTATCAGACACGTATTTAAAGATAATCGGTCATATCGGTCTATCTCTGAAGACACATTTTACAGCTGATGAACTTTTATGCAACCCTTTAGAGATCCCAAACCCTGATCCCAAGAAAGAGGCTTGCTTTAAGGGCAAATACCACGTTGGAAAAGAGTTGAATGCAATGAGTGTAAAAAAATAAATAAATAAATAAATAAATAAAGCAAACCCCAAACGAACTCGCGTGAATAGACAAGTGATGCGAGGTTGACAAAGCTACCCAAAGACAGATCCCCACGGCGCCCCCCGTGTATCAAACATGTGGACTGATCGAGATCAGACCACTTTTGCGAATGATGCAGGGAGAAATTATGTGTTGTGCATTTTGCACTCAGTTCACTGCGATGGGCATTGTTGTAGATAGGTACAATTAGAATGTATTTATGATCTTGTTGCATATATTTTTTTGGAGGGAATGTACTCTGGCCGTTTTCTAAAAAGAAAATGTTTACCCCCGATTTGGTTATAGGCGCGTCTGAACGCTTGTGTGGTTCAGCTGCATGAGTGGATTTGTAGTTTTAAGACTGCAGTTTCGTGAAATCAGCTTGATTTAACGTGATTTTGCTTTTATTTCCATTCCGCTCTCATTTTTCCTAAATAACTTATCTTGTTCTAAATGTAAAATGCCTTTAAAAAAAGAAAAAAGTATTCTATGACAAAAGCAGTTTTGTAGGCATAATTTATCAACTGTAGCTATGTGAGTACTGATCTCCAAAATAGAATAGTAAAATAATTACAATTAAATATATATAGAATCATTTATGGAAGCATGTTTTTGGATATTCAGATGTGAAGAAACAACTGTCACGAGTCAGAACAGTGCACTAATGTTGTTTTTTTCCTTTGTACTTCTACTGATCCAGGATCAGTCCCCTAAACACAAATCATAAATCACACATTTTCAACTCAAAGGCAAAACTGCGTTTAGAACCAGACTTTGCTGCCCTCTTGTTGTCGAGTTAACACGGTACACACCAGCTCCACTCCTGAACTTGGTTTCTTCACCTAGTTACACTCTAAAAAAATGCTGGGTTAAATACAAGCCAGTGCTGGGTAAAATAGGGACAAACCCAGCAATTGGGTTGTTTTGACCCAGCGGTTGAGTTAAATGTTTAGCCCAACCTTCTGGGTAGTAACCCAACCACTGGGTCAAAACAACCCAATTGCTGGGTTTGTCCCTATTTTACCAAGCACTGGGTTGTATTTAACCCAGCATTTTTTAGAGTGTAGTTAAAAAAGACATGAGAGTAATATAACTGTGCCCATCTGACTAAAAGTTAGTGTCTGGTGGCCTCTATTGGTCGATTATTATAAAGAACCAACCCTGCAAATCATATTGGCCCCAATGTGTTATTTGTACCAATCAGTTGTAAAAGTAACAGGACAATCATGGCAGCACTTAAGTTCACAGCTATTAGTGTCACTTAATTTACTGTGATTGTCTGAAACCATTTCTGATTTGAATGACTTGAGGATACCTTCACACTGCCCTTAACCCAAAGGTTATTCTTCCTCGTTCTTTAGAAAAACTTTGATGTGGAATCATCTTCATTCATTCATCAATGATCTTCATCATTTTCCACTTTATCTTCATCAAATCCACCAATTTCTGCCATCATTTTGCAGTCAGTTACCAGTGTTATTTAATATCATTGAGATAGTTTTTAATTTAAAAGTTTTATATCTATTCAACTTATTTTTCAATGCAGAAGTAAGCCATTTTCTGTGAATGTGCGAGACAATTCTCGAGAAATAACGAGAACTATAAGACTAAATAATAGTGCAGTAAATGGTCAAACTGTTTGCGCTACACATCAGTGTGTTTATAATTAAGATAATATATTCAAATAATATGGAAAGACACACCAGTTTGCTGTTTTGTACAGCCAACAATAGCTGGAAATGGATGACACCGGAAGCCGGACACATTCAATTTACAAATGGCTACGCCAGCTCTTACGGGAAAAATAAGGTGGATAGTGTTTATTAATTTTTATTTTAGGTTTAGTTTTTTTAGTAGGCTTAAATTAAGTTGAGAAACACGAGAAATGTTGCCTTGGCATCTAGATGAAATAAAATATATTTTTTAAATGTATATTTCAGTTAAAATATTATTTATTTATTTATTTATTTTAGATGATTTTATTGCAGTTAACATTCATTTTATTTCAAGCAACGGGAATGTTTTTTTTATTATTTCTGATTTAGGTTTAGTTAATAACCCTGTCAGTTACTCAGAGCGCCGCCATAAATCACACAATGCAACATGAAGACCGTCCAGTTCCAAAGGTGCACGGTCACACTGTCATTCATTCACCTTGCCCTGATCCACCCTCGGTCATCATTAGTTATGAATCATTTCATTGACATGTCTTTCCCGAGCGCTCCTCATGAATGATTTCTTCATTCTCAGGCCCTCTTCAAGACCCATTAGCGTTAATTTTAGCCTCAGGATTGAGTTACCGTCTGCATTGTCTTAAATCGAGATGAATTGTTAATCCAGGGCTGCTGTCATAGGCAGGTTAAGATCGCAGTGAAGGTCAGGTGAAGGGGTGACAAAGGCGACGGGGTTAATGACTGTTTGCAGATCAGATGTACATGAGTCTGCGGCCCCTCTGGGGTTTAGGGTAGAATAGCAGCAGTAGCCTACGTGATTCACGCTGCTAAAAACGGGCAAAGTGTTGCCTCGGTATCGTTTCACCGGTATTAAAGACACTTAACGTGTCGGGCAGGAGAAAAGGCTTGAATTGACACCAGCCCTCCCCCTTTCCTTTCAGTAGGTACGCTAAGATCCCTCTCTTTTTACTTTTCTTACTTCATCATCATGATAGCTGAGTCCGATAAGCGGTCTCTTGTGACGCCTGCTGTGATCCTGTTTAAAACCAGAGCCATCCTCCACGAGCATATTGTATGAGATAGACAGACAAACCAGCTGTTAAAGATACACCAAACACGTGAAAACGTGTAAATCAAAGCTCTCCCCAGAAACAACCAGGCCTTAAAAGGGGTCATATGATGCGATTTCAATTTTTCCTTTCTCTTTGAAGTGTTCCAAGCTCTTGCGCTCCTTCGTCGAATCCGCCGGCCGCACCGTTCTCAAGCCCACCGTCTCTGCTCACTCAAGCCGGCCTCCGCTTACTCTAGCCCTCTGGCCGTTCCTCACTCTAGCCCCTGGCCTCTGCTCACTCTAGGCCGCCACCGCTCACTCTAGGCCGCCGTGTGTGACGCTGTGTTTTGCTGTGAAAACTAAACTACTTTGTTTGGCCTTCCAAAAATGGACACGACTACAAATCAGTGGTTAAGTTGTATTTACAACACTGTTCCAGAACAGTTCAACCCAAATATTCAGATGTGTTCAGCGCATTTTATGG